TACCCCTGCACGGCCGGTGAACTGGCTAAGTTGGAGCGTGTATAACGTGCTGCCACTAGATTCGTTGTTGGACTACGCGGGACCAGCTATGAAGGTCGTCTACAAGCTACTAGTCTGTTCCCAATTGCGTGTCAACGCCTCAGGGGAGATCCCATCTGTCTGAGGAAGATCCTGAGAGGTATTATGAGCCCGGGGCTGCAACAGTACTTCCCTCTACGGATAGAGCATCGCACACGAGGACACTCTCTCACGTTGCGGAAACTTCAGTCAGTTGGTCTTTCGTTAGTCCACCGACTCTCGCGTAGGGTCAACAACACTCTGGAATTCCCTTCCAGCGATTGTGGTGGAAGAGAAGACAGACGCTGCTTTCAAACGGCGTCTGTATGAGCACCTGAAGGGGCTGTGGAGGAACGGACACTTGTGATCGGACCTTCGACCCAGTGATGCTGGGGCTTACATGGGCACACTGCCCTCGGCACTCAATCCTGAAGACGGAAATATTCCCTGTCNTGTCGCAGCAGTTTCTCCTAACAGGGGACGAGTCACAGATACGGTTTCAACTCGTCTGTTTATGTTCCCTTCCCCATTCAGGGAGCTTAACTGGATCTATGTACTCAGCGTCCATGATGGCATGAAAACCCTGTCCAGGACACTGGGTCATATAGGTCCCGTTAGACTCCCTGGATGGGGCCTCCGAGACCTGGTCACCGATGGTTAGAAACACTGAGCAATATGGCTGGGGGCTGCAAAGAGTGGCTCTCGTACATCTACTCTTTATTCTTGTAACCGCAGTCTATATGAATTCTGTATCTTCCGCATGAATTTGCTCTCAACATTCCAATGTTCGTTCTGCTCTTTTGTCCAAATGGGTGACCAAAAGACAGCAACTAAAACCGGCGCACGAAAGTGCATGGTTAATGGGTGCAATTATTGAAATTGAATTAATGTGGATAATATTTAGTCATCAGTCAACATATCACTTTACAATTTACCCTCTGAAAATACTACCGTTTGCAGTGATTTATCCGTTTACATATACTAAATGGTTATGCTGCTTTGGCTGTGGTTGAGTTAATCCGAGTTTGCTCTCTCTCTTTGGGTGTAGCCACAGCCTGTTTTGTTCGGGTTATACGACGCAACTGTCGAGATCCGCTTCAGCTTGAGCAGGCAAAGTTAGCATTATTCGAGTTTTTTTCTGGTATTTCTCAGCAGTCCGAAGCAAGGCTTCGTGCATTTGCGCTCAGCTATGCCTTACGCCCTACATTCTGTACGACAGAATGTATTCTGCCCGCCCGCTTTTAACTGCGTGTGGTTATTTTATTTTGCCAACGGGCCATTTTCCCTATATTACCGCTCTTCTGCATAATGATGCATGTTATTCGTTGTGAAATACACTTTTTATCATCTTCCGATCAATAAGCTTTTCATCATTGATTGTTGTTCTTTTGTTCATTTGAAGAAGTTAACGTGGCTTCCGATTATGGGTGTGCGTATTCTGCGCTCGCGCAGAATTATTAAGCAGTGTTCCAATGGCTCGGTGAATTGTGACTCTTGCTTTCTTAAACCGTAAATATCTAGTTCACAACTAATAAGTGCCTCCTTCGCTGCGAGGAGCAAACTAAATTTACTCAATTATATATGAAATTTTACTTTAATTGAGGTGTTTTAGGCTAATATTTATTTCCCAAGAGTGCAACACATCAACCAATCTTGTTACTTTATTTGGTTTTTATCTGCACCTGTTTTTTCAAACATGAGATGTTACCTGAAAAATGCCTCTTTCTATGAGTTTTCGTGGTCGTGATTCCTTACCGATATTTGTTTTAGATATTCTAGTTCTATTGTGAGTGTAATTGTCTCCGTTATGCCGCATTTGAGCGTGCCTTGTTTTAAATGCGTTTTTGCATGCGTAGTTTAACTATTAGACGTAGCTGGTATGTACGAGGTCGTTGACAAAATAACACCATATAGGCATAACCGGTGGGTCGCAACTGGACCTATGCTCTCAAATTCCTGTTATTCATTCATCCAAGTGATTCAATCAATTTATGTATAACTTGGCTTAAAAAATATTCAAAATATCTGAATGGCCTCAGAACGCCTGTAAATTTTAAATCTCGTTGAGACAAGTTTCAATCAAAGAATTTTACAGCTGTCTTTCATCCATCTTGACTTAAACCCGATAAAGCAAAATTATACGAGTGTATTACAATGTCATAATTCCCTATCATTCATGCGTAAGAACTTATCTGTTTTCCAGGTGATGTTAGCTTCCAGCTACGAAGGAACGGGGATCCCGGAATTTTGGAACACAGTTTGTGAATTCAAAAGTAGTCAGATCGAGTTGTCCGATTTCCAGAAGAACCGACTCAGGCAACTCAAAGTACGTCACTCGATGTGTGTGCCGTTAAGCCCNNCTGTTGAATAATCTACTCAATTTGTAGCACTGTTCTTCCCATGAAAGTCGGAAGAAGACGCATGTCGCTAGTGCAAAACATACACGCACAAATATAACACATCAGGTTGGTAGATTCTAGTAAACGACCGTGTACAGATAGACAGAGGCTATGGAAATTTAAAGCAAAAAGTCACGTCCACCGCAAGAGAACTGATTGCGTCAATAGCTTTGGGTCGCACTAAACGGGATGATGTAATCTGACTAATAGCGCTCCCACTAATAGCCAGGAGTTTTGCGTTTCCGTCACATAATAAGAGTTTGATTTGATTCACGTTACTCCAGCTTACTTTAGAAGTGCATGTTTCGTGCTGTAGCACATTGTCCGATCGGCCAATTTGGGTTGCTATCATCGTTCCAATTTTAATTGTATTTTTTGTCTTGACCCAATCGCATCTATATTTTGTTTTCTTTTTTCATCCTTTAATTGAATATAAAAAGATACAATTTTGTGGATGGATGGTGGTGGTAGGACTCGAACACTTACCCGGGGCGCTAATTTGGTGACGTTACCACTAAGCCACCACCACCTACTGTGTAAAAGAAGTTCTCAGACAAACTTGAGTGATTGACAATTCAGTTTAGTATAGCCGGGCAATTAAGTGTAATATGTGTTGAGGTGTATCACGTACGCATCAATCAAATAGTTGTACACTATACACTGACAGTCGCCTTACTTTGTAAATTATCTAGCACATTCCTGTCCAGAGAAGCCACTGAGAAAGATCAGAAGACCGCTATAAAGCTTATGAAACCTACTCCAGAGGAAAACCGATCTGTACAGGAACCACTGTCGTTTTCGTAAAGTTTTCACTCTGAATATTTGTGAATTAAAAGGAAACATTTGACAAAGTAGTATCTCCAAGCTCAAGAAAAGGCTACAAAAGATTTCTAGAATTTGAATTTGCAAACTGAAATAACGAAACCGGAAGTGCCTGTCTCGATTTTTCACTTGTTTCAAGATAAATATTAGTTTTCTTTGTACCTACTCGTTTTGGAATTGTGTGAATCGTGCCAAAAATCTATCCAGTTTAAACGTCTACCAAATTGAGACCATCGATCCAGCAGACGATACTAGACTGCTCAATGTCGACGTCTATTTCTATTGGTTGCTTTTTAATGTGCAATGAGCAAACTGTACTGTAACATATACACTTGCCTTTCATTGGCGCATGCAGCACACATAGTAAAATGCCGTTGGTGCTAATCGCCCCTATTAGTAATGCCTGTATCAATACACATGACATTCCTTTTGTAACTTCTCGCGTTTTTCAAAAATTAATGTGATTTCAGCTAACCAATCTTCCGAAACAATCCTTCACAATGTCCTTCGGATCTTTTCAGATTTGATTCCTCTGTGGTCTTCGTTTAAACATTGATCTATCGGAGTAAAACATATGCGTTTGCACTCTACCACTTTCAATAGGCGACCAGAAGAGCCTGTTCAAAGGTCGATTGGGTACGTGGAGGCTTTTCTGAGGGAAATTGAATGTGAGAGGAGCGGCCACTATTTTTCTTATCCTGTGGCCGATTAGCGTGAGACAGAAAAACGCATCACTGAATACGCTGGTGATATGATCTGCCAATAAACTGTATAGTGGTTGCGCGGGATAGACTTGACAGACAAACAAACTCTTTTGCTCCTTTCTGTATTTACTTTACGCTTTATGAAGGCAAAGTGATACGACGAGATAGGCTGTCGATTAGATCCTCCTTGAAACTTGATGTTCAGGAATTAGCTGGAGTTGGTTACTTGTCCTAACTTGTCAGTTGTATGACCAATGACAGTAAGGCACTAAAGGAATTCACCATCCTCATTTCTAACGCTAGAAAAGGTATGCAGGTCTGAAACATCTTTGGCGTCAACGTGATGTTTCGCTAAAATTGAAAGGTCGTGTGTATTGTGACACCGTTTGGGCAGTTCTGGTTTACGCTTGTGAGATATTGAATTTGCGAGTAGGAGACATTCACTGACCCGAAGATTTTGATCATCAATCTTTACGTAATTTGGTGCAGGAGGTATACACTGAGCAGGTAAGTAAGCATAGGCAATGTATGAACAAAGTGTACATTGCGATTACGTAGAATAGGTGTCTCACCCTCCAGGCTGGGGTCTTAACGGCTCCGTAACTAATTGCTTGGAAATATTGAAGGACAGTAGTTACTTTCTTGATATCATTCTTTTCAATTCAGANNCAGAGATTTGCCTTTGTTTCTTTTCCCTAAGAATAGATCCACTCCCCGTCCACCTTATGCATTCCTACTTGCTTTGTTTATATTTTGAATTCGGTGTCCATTCGTGAAGTTCGTTTCACTGTATTGCGTTGTACAGTGATGATAAATGGTATCACTGGACCCTTAGCATTAATGACTCTCTTTTTTACTTATCCGCTTCATATGTGGACTATAACACTAGTCGATTAGGTCTCTTCTATCATGAATAGTGTTTAGCATTAATAATTGTATTCAAGCACTTATACCCCGTTTTACTGATCTTAGCTCCACTGTGTATTTATATCCCCTCCTGTACAACAGGTTTGGATGCGTAACTATGTTCGCGAGGGTATTTGGGATCTTTTCAGTCAGCACAAATTGATTCGTGATCTGTTGCCGGAAGTGGAGTACAAAGTGGTGGCTGGCGAACTGGCACCTGGACCGGCTGCGGAGATGCTAATTGACATGTTCAAAAGGAACACATAGGAAACAAACTGGTTCTGATTGTTCTGCTCGTCTGTCTTATCCAGATTCTCGAACTTCACCAGTCAGCCTAGAAATGGTATTTTTATAGTGATTTTTCCTGGTTTTTCTTCAGTTTGTTTCCTATTTTTACTCACCTGTTCATATGTTCCCCGGTTTGTTTGCTGTGATTCCCGGATGAACACCCCTCACACCTAACTCAATCTCTTCTGTCCGTTTATCTTTCGCCTGCTCTACATTCTGCCCTCTCTGTTTCGTACTTCGATCGAACTTAATTTTTACTGGTTACCTGCGCTTAGATACCGTTCGAAACAAGTTCGTCTTTCGCCTGTCTTTCTTCTGTTTAATTACCAATTTTCGTCATTTTGAACAGATCACATTCTGGATGAGGTCCTAATATGCAATATCTACCCACTTCTCATACATTGTCTCACTATCCTACTACACCTTGTATTGACTTAGTGTTGGTGTGTCATAATCTCTGGATGAAAGAATTCCGCTTGAAAAATCTGTTCTCCTTCTCCCTCCTCCCGCCCTCAACTAATGCGAGTCGGCTGATCTCGGTCATTCATTCAGTCATTTTTCTTACCGATTCCAGACATGCGATATATGTGTAGGTCATTTAAATCTGTCAATCGGTAAAATGGACTTCGGATGTGACATGATAAGTGTGATCGTCTTCAATTTGCATCGCAAAGATAGTCCGCAACAGGTAAACGAGTCGTAGTATTTAATTCTGACTTCTCATCACAGATTCGTATTTGTCTTCACTCTTTCCGTCTAAACTGTCAACTGTTGTCAAGCCCCTCATCACAAACCAATCCCTGATGGCACAAACTAGGTCTGAACTAGACGCTCTGATCACTTCGGGCTGGAAGCCGTATGGTGTTAGAAGTCGATGCGTGGTCATGTTCGCATGATCATGAACTTATACGAACACAACAGCTCACACACTAACCACCATATGCAGTGCATCGCTTAAAAGTAACCCGCTGTCCATGGTGCACTTGTTGTCCCTTATCTGAGTGCGCTTGCTGGCTATATCACAGCGGAGTTCCTGATATATATATTTATGGGAGGTAAAATCTTTTGAACTCAGTGTGTGTGTGTGTGTGTGTGTGTGTGTGTGTGTGTGTGT